GCCACGATCCTCGAGGCTCAGCTCGGCCCTTGGCTCTGAACGATCGGTGGAATCGTGACGTTTCCTGTGGTGAGTGAAAGCCCCTCCCCTAACCTGCACACCCCCTGTCAAGAACGATTCGAGTGGTAAACGAAGAAACGAATAGAAACGAAAGAAAGTGGAGAAAGTGACGAAACGAACGTTTTGTTCGACGCGAAGAAAAATCGTTTCTCTCGCCAAGGACTCTCATCGAAAAAACACTGCCTTAATTTTGCGCGGGACGTTCCTTTTGTTCCTCCCGTTGAATATTCCCTCACAACCCTTTATCATCCATCCCCCCCACCCCCCACCCCTCTTTTTTGTACATAGAATGACATTTCCGTTTGTAAAAGATATGAACGTTGTTGTTCGACGAGGATTATTCGGATACGCTGTAATCGTGAAACGAAAAGTAAACTAGAGACTGTGCATTTAGATGGTTATATATGTGTAAATACGTGCTATAAGGGTTAGATAGATAGATAGATAGAGAACATCGAGCAAGGAACGAGGAGAGACGAAGGTGAGATAAAGGAAGGAAGAGAAGAGAAAAAAAAAAGTGGAAAATCGTTCCAATGCGATACAAGAAGATTAAAAAAAAAATTTTTGAAGGTAAAACAGAGAAAAAAAAGGGAACGTGTTTTTATCGATTTGTTACATACATATATATATACGGATGCACGAGCACACACGCGAGTGGCCACCGGTTTCCTGGAAGGATGATCGTGCCAAAAATTCTCACTCTCGGTTTCGAAACTCACGAGCCCGTCGTTTCCGTTGACGTTTCTAATATTCAGATGTTTGTTGAAGAAAAAAATGAAATGAAAAATACGCGCCTGTGGTTTCTTTCGTGCACGTCGACAATACACAAACACACACACGCATACGTACTGCCACCGCCGCCCGCGACTCTGTAAATTCTTGTTCTTCTTCTTCTTTTTCTTTTTTTTTTGAGAGAGAGAGGAACAGGACGAAGGATAGCGCGCGCGCGGATGTTCGATCGCGTAAATACGAAAAACTCTCGACTCGCGATGAAAATCGAATGATCTTTTAAATCGACGCAAGTTTATTTGGAAGAATTGTATATTTGTTACTTTCGACGAATAAAATATTCTTGTATACCTCGAGCTGTTGTTCGTTCATTCTTTTAATCCCCCCTTTGTTCCTTTTAATTGTATTTTTTGGGGGAATTTCGATGGTTCGAATTTTTGCTTCGGTTGAATTGTGAACGAGGTGAGTGGGATTGGTAGAATTCTTCAAATAAATCATCGAGTGCTAAGAAAGAAAAGGGGGAAAAAATATGTGGGATCAGTATGAATTAGATCTGGATTTGACGCAGCATAACTATGGATTAGACGCGCCTGATGTCAGAATAAATAAACTCCGGCCTGGATTAGTTCGGGATTAGGTCTGCAAACATGAGGAATAAGGCCAGTGTGTTCCTAACCCAAGGTAAGTAATAGCATAATCTAAATAAATCAAAATCTGTGTAAAGAGATCTGCAAAAATTAGCTGAATCTTCATTTGAGACTAATAATATTTCTCATAAAATAGAAGCCCTATAAAATGCATCTGAGGATTTAAAAAACATGTTTTAAGAATATCTGTCAGAAATAGAAACTCTAGGATTTCAATATGCATCTATCGATTTTTGAAAATTTCTCAAGAAATATTCCTCTTAAATAGAAACTCCATCTATCTGTCGATTGTTTCGAATTTTTCAAGAATAATAATAATACTATTTCGCACAAATAGAATCTCCAGAGGCCGAGTGTATCTATCGATTTCTAAGAGCAAGGTATTAGATTTCCACGCGGTAACTGGATCGTAATTATGAGCGGAAGACTCGGCTAATATTCGCGAAAGACTTCCCCAAACAAGAAACCCTATCGAGACAACGAGTAACACGAGACTGACAACGCCTAATGCCCAAAGAGACATCGAAAGAATGTACACCGCTTTCACTGTTGCAGTGAGTCAGCATCGATCACCAACTCCCACAATTTCTAGTCGCGAGTGTAATCGTCGCGCAAGTTTCACACCGTCGCGTTTTCCTCCATTACCGGAGTTTCCATTCTGCGATATCGCGCGATGCGTGCATTTAATACGCCCGCGAATTAGTTTGAAACATTTTACCTCTATTCCATCCTTCGCCAAATTACAAACCTGCTCGCGTAAAACACCTCGCAAATGGATCAACCACCGTAGAACTGTACTTACCCTGTCTCCCCTTCTATGATTTTATGAAATAAAACTAAATAGAGCTAAATAAAGAAAGAGTTACAATTAGGCGATACGATACGGTGTTACTATTAAACGGTGAAATGCCAGAGAGCTGATTCAGAGGCGTGAAATCCATATTTCAGCGGGGCAGGAGAAAAGAAAATTGCATTTCCTTCGGTAATCGGTTCAGAGAACACGATTTGTTGCATGCCACATAAATCCAAGTAAATACAGTCTGGCCAGGAGGAGAGCACGCAACGCGGCTCAATCAAACTCGGCTAGAACGACGAAGAGGAGATTCAACTGGCGATCTACCAGAACACGAAACGCCGTCTGTCACGGTCTTTCACGAAAGACACAATGGCTGCCGCAAATGCGTTTTATCGACGTATCGTCGATAATTTCCAATGAAACACCCTCTCTCTCTCGACTTGCTTTTCATCGTTCACCGTTACTATACCACGTTTCGTTTCCACGTTTCCCACCGACGAAGACGAAACGTTTTTGTCCTCTTCGAGGCGTCGTCCTTATCTCGAACGAGTCTGCGAGACGCGGACGATAGGGGAGAATATTCCACAACTTTTCACGCCTGTACCCGCTGAAACTCTCTCTCTCTCCTCTCTGTGTGTCGGATGTGCGCCGCGACGCGCAACAATGGACGTCGAGCATAGCAATTTCGAAATGTCGATACCAGTCACGCGTACACGCCGCTTCCATGGCTCTTGCCAGCGCTATACTCTGAACGCGGCTCTCCCTGGCTTTTCCCAACCTGTAACGTGCCATTTCGCGTTTTCCTCGCGGGACACTGTGGCTTTTTGCTTACTTTTGCCGCGTGCCGTTGTTTCAATACCTTTTGCTGCTTTGTGCCAGAAAGATTTATGGCTCTTTGCGCTTGATTCGGTTTTATGGAGGATATTGCGGATTGTGGTTCTTTTAGCTTCTCGGTGTGGAATTTCGATGCTTGAAATTGAATTCTGAAAGATTTCCTTGGTTTCGCTAATTTTTGTAGGTAGCGTTGAATTTCTATTTTCTTTAATCCAGGGTTAAATATGTAAATTTCTGGACCTAAGTTTATCACGAGCCATAAAGTCTTCTATTTTATTAACTTTTGATATTCTTAATGGAGCACTTTGCTATTTTAAGGAAGATAATTCATAAAATACAGTTTCTCGTATCTTGTTAATTAGAATTAACGATTTACGATCATTTATTCATCTTCGCGGACTATGTTCATCTTGGTAATTTCTCTTCCCACTTGATTCCTCTTAACAGTAGCGTCTTAAATAATTTACCAGAGTTTTTTCGTCGATCGAAGACGTTCCGCAACCGTCTCGCAAGAAAAACAGCGCCCCGAAAATCCTCCTGATAACCTCATCCGCTATCTCGCCACAGAACATAGCATTTACGCGCTGCTCCCGTCAAGGAAGACAAATTTCTATGACTTAGAGGCCGGTCTTTTTATGAATGAACCTCTCAGACAACGGAATGAAGCTGTCCCTTTGTGGCCCATTGATCCAACGAAAATTCGACGCTCTATACGCGATAACCTTGCTCCCAGCAGATAACGCGAGACTCTTGAAGAATCACAGACGAGGCTCATCTTCCCCCGGAAGTAATCTGTCGATGACAGCTCTATTGCTCAAGCTATCTCCTCCACCAGCCGCGCAATCCTTCTCCAATCATCCTCGCACAGAGAACGCGTATCACCAAATTCACAGATAACTTCTACAAGTTCGTAACTAAAAAAATAACTCACGAACTTTTTATTAGATAAAAACGAGAGCTTCAAAGGGGGACGCGTTCCTTGCTCGAAACGAGGCGTCATAAAGCGCGCTGGACCGTCGTAGGAATCTCGTCGCGCGATATTTCATTTAAATTCCTGCGTGGAAAAAGGGCCACGTTGCGTGACTCACCTGTAGGTGTATCCGTGCACAGAAAACTCGGCGCAGAAAAAAGAAGAACGAAAACGCGAGTTAGTTTCTCACGGATCGGTCGGTCTCGTTTGAAGGATCTCTAGACGAGAGAGAGAATTACTATTAGGAGAGGAAGACCGTCGAAAAAAAAGGCCGTTGCAGAGCACAGAGGGATTTAGAGTGGAAAGCCGCGCCTACTAGAAAATTAAAAAGGCCCCTTCTCCGCCACTTGATCGGTGTTCTTCGCGGAACATAAGTCGATCCAGGGCCGACAGCAGCGCGCTGTTCGTAGCGGAGAGGACGTTGCGTAAACGTAACGGAATGCGCACAAGTGTTCTTCAAGTGCTCCAGCATGTTGCCGCACGGAGGAAAGTCTAAGTGCCATAAAAATAGCTCGACAGAGAAACGGTTACTTCCACCCCTCCTTGTGGCTGCTCTTTTCATGTGTGCATGTGCCGCTCTCGGCGGAGAGAGAGATGAGCCGCTTTTACTATTCGCGCAATCGCGACACCGGACGACGCCTAGGTATGCCGAATACTCATTGATATGCGTCTACCGGCAGCCGTGCCTCGATTACACCCTTCCACTCAGAGGTTCCCAATGCTTCCTCCTTCGTACCGCCTCTTCCTGCTCGGATCCAAGTGTCCTGCCACCGTCTCCTCCTTCCCTTCGGTTTTTTGGGGAGAGTTCGATAAACGGGGGTGGTTCGGTTGGAGATCAAATTTTGGAAGTTTCTTAGTCTTTGGGAAGCGTCTTCTTGGTCGGTGTTTTTGTAGAGGCGAGATTAGGATTCTGAACGACT